AATAATAATAATAATAATAATAATAATAATAATAATAATAATAATAATAATAATAATAATAATAATAATAATAATAATAATAATAATAATAATAATAATAATAATAATAATAATAATAATAATAATAATAATAATAATAATAATAATAATAATAATAATAATAGTAATGATAAAAATAACAATAAATAATAATAATAAATAGAAAATAATAATGTTACTACGATCGTTTTGCTTGAAGTTATATTATATATAGCTCCACCCTATAATTATTTTACATTTTCAACCATTTTTAAGTACGAATATTTAAGAGCTTTTTTGTTGCCTTCTCATTTTTGCTTACATTTTTCCTTTTAAGAATGAAAAAAATTGTTTTCCTTATATGTCTGTGTTAATTTGATTATTTGTTTAATTTTTTTGAATTTATTTAATTTAAACTTTGATTTTAATAATTAATAAATTAGCTTATATGGTAAAAATTTGCTTATTATCATCAATTCTTGCACATTTTAATCATAAATTTTAATAAATATTGTCAAATTTATTTATCTGAAAAAGAAGGGAGAGAGAGAGAGAGAGAAACTAAAAAAATAGCAGTAATTAAGTAAAAGTTCGAATTGTAATTTTTTGAATTACAATTATAACCACATAAATTTATCGGTATTGATTAGATAATTGTGTAAATATTGATTATAAATTTTGCATTTTTTGCATTTTGCATTTTTTGCATTTTGCATTTTTTGCATTTTGCATCTTTTGCATCTTGCATTTTTTGCATTTTGCATTAATAATTTTGCATTTCCTGTTCATTCTCATTAGTAAAATATGATATGGTACTGATAATACAAGGTAAAATTACTGATATAATAAATTTAAATCTATCCAATAAATATTTGTTGGTATTGTCATCTTCATTAATCATTTATTTTATTCTAACAAATTAGGTTTGTCATTAATCAGTTGTAGAATTAATGAAGAATAAATAATTACTCTCATACTTTGTGTTTATTTTCGAATTATTAAATTTTCAAAAAAAAGGACGAAAATTTAAACAAATTGAAAAAATGTACTGAAATAGATAATAGTTTTGAGGATTAAAGGATTATTTCAGTGTAATATATGTAATAAATATGCTCCATCATTCCCATTTGTAGATGTTATTATGATTTTATCATTGAAATAAATTTTTTTTTTTGTCATATTTTGATATCAGAAAATTATTACTAATCAGAAATCAAATAATAAATTTTGAAAATTATATAACAAATTTTATTCTAAGAAAATTTTTACTAATTTGAAATGATAAAATGAAATTTTAAGGATGAAAATGAATTGAACATTTCTTATATAATGATGTTATTGAAATTATTTGCAAATTTTTGTGTTTTTATTTCAATCATTTTTTATTTTTATTTTTTTTTTAGTTGTTATTAGTAATATTTATTAATCAATAAATAAATATTTGAGGGTGAAATATGGATGAGCCAAGAATAATACAGGAATCATTATGGAAACGTATGATTACTCGTCCATTTATTGCTATCATAACAATTTTTGGCATTATTTCAATTGCATTAATTTGTTCATTAATTTATTTACTTATAAGGAAAACAACAACAATATGTTTAACAACTGAATGTATTAAAACTGGTAAGTTATAATTTTTTCAACACTATTATTATTATTACTATTATTGTTATCGTTATTGTCATCTATTACTGTTAATTATCGTTATTATTGTTTGTTTATTTATTATTATTATCATTATTATTACTGTTATTATTATTATTATTATTATTATTATTATTATT